CAAAATGACTAACTGAAACAACTTTGACCAAATTTTCAATAATAATGGGAGAAAAAAACTACATGGGTGTAAGGTTCAGTCATAAATACTTAGATGAGCTTGCAAGTCATAAATACTCATTTTCCTCTAACAATTCAAATGTGTCCTCTTTTTTGCAATAAATTAGATGAAAAAGACTACATGGGTGTGTCGCGGTGAAAATCGGATACCAAACTATTGATTAGTTTGAATCTTTAATTCATTTTGCAACCGAACTTTGATTTGTCCAAAGGAAGGGATAAAGATCGAAATACCCGCAATACAATGCAAATGCAAGCTAGAGAGTTTTAGGTTCGGGGGTTGGTTAAACTTAGGGAAGGTACTAGCATCCTAAGTTTCTGTAGTACTCTACAGGAACCTCTTGTTTCATGTTTGTTTATTGCTATGTGTTTTATCTGCTTAAGGGTTGAAAGACCTAGGGGTTTATATCTAAGTATACTCGATAAGATGTCGCATCTTATGCCTACATATCCTTACGGGAGTGGAATCAGAGTATTTTGTAGTTCCCCTAAAGGGTTTGAGGAGTTCTTTGACTGTGGTCAAAGTTCCTACGGGTTTAGGGTAGTTGATTGATTGATTTTAGGAGAAGAGATGTGTTATCATTTTAAGAGAGATTTAACCGCCACAAATTATAGGAATGTAGTCTTTGCATCGTCCTAAGAGAAAGGCTCAAGTACTCGGATAGGGATCGACGAGGTACGCCTCTATCTCTCTTAAGGCAAAGTTCCTACGACATTGACTATATTGATGTGGGGTGGAGATTCTATCTCACTTAAGATGATTAACATCTTTCTCTAATGTGTTTGAATAATTGTATTGAATTGTTTTATTTGTTTTTGTGTTTATTTCTATGTTGTAAGAGAAAAGGTCCTTCCTATGGGGTAGGATCTATCCTAGAGATCAACTTGAATGGGATCAAGGATCACGGGGAATGATGCGAATGAGATGCACTACACACAATTGTTGAATAATGTGTAGGTTTTTCCTTTGGACGAAATGCAAGGCGGAAATATAAATACGATAATGTAAATTGCAAAAATAAATCGCGGAAAATAAACCATACACACGCATGAAAGCGCTGAAGTATATGAGAGTGAGTGTGTCGTAAATGTGAGTGTGCACGATTGATTGTATTTTCGATGTTGATCGATTTTAGTTAAATTGATTTATAAGAAAAATAATATTTAGATTACAAATTATAAGTAAATTCGATTTAATTTATTAGTTTTAAAAGATTAGATTTATTGACGAAGTCGATTTTTGGGAAAATGTTAATTTAATTTTATTAGCAAAAAGGTTTTGGATGTGGATTGATTAAGTTTGATTAATAAGGAGTTTTCTATTTGAATAGAAAAGTTGGTCAATAGATAAAATAAAAAATTAATTGAATTATTATGAAATAGGTTTTTAAAAAAGTTGTACTTATTAGATAAAAAATTTTATTATTGCAATAATGTTTAGTTGTAAATTATTTAGGAAAAATGAACTTATGATAATTATTATACTATTTAAGGAATTAATAAAAATGTTGATTTTAAGTATTAATTAATTATAAAAGGGTTATCAATTTTATTATTTAAAAGAGTCTTATTAAAATTATTAGGTTAATTAGTTAGTAAAAATAAAAGAAATAATTATTAAAAGGCTAAAGTTTACAAAATAAAAAAAAGTTATTTAATTAATAAATGGTGGATTTAAAAAAGATTCAATTATTAGCTATTAGTCTATATTTAATAAAAAGATTAAAGTTGATGATTAAAGGGTTAATAGTTATTAAATAAAATAGTTTTAAATTAAAAGATAAAAAAATATGTTGTCTTTAAAAAGGCTGATTAACATAAATCGGGTTTTTAAAAAGGTTAATTAAGATTAGTGGTGGTTTAATGGTTAATTAGAGAATGATTAAGGATTGGATTAGTTGGGTGTACGTGAGTGAATGGTGAGTGTGTGTACATGTGATTACGAATTACAACAAAAATTAAAAAAAGAAACATAGAAACCCTAATTCCCAAACTGATTTCCCCCTCTTCGTCGTTGCCTCGTTGTCTCTCCCTCTCCGATTTCGTCTCGGCTTCTCTCTTTTTCACTCTCGATTTCCCTCCGTTATTCTTTGCCTCTCGCCCTTTCTTGCCTTCTGCCACTTCCTCCCTTTTCGTCATCTTCTTCGATGGTACTTGAATCTGTGAACAAACAAAACAACAAAAGAGCAATTAATCAGATCAAACAGCCGATGGATTGAGAATGTTTACCCAAGAGCAAAGATGCGTCAGTGGTTCGCGGCGGGTGGCTTCACGGTTTGTTTTTGTAGGTGAGCTCGTGGGTTTGAGGGTGGCCGTCGGACGAGTTGCAATGGAACTTCGAAGAAAAAGGTGAGTCTCTCAATTCCACGGTTTTCGAAGTTAGGGTTTGATTTGGAGATTTTGGGTTTCTTTGTGAATTTGCGGTTGGTAGAGGAACCAAAAGATAAATTCTTTTCTTTACCAATTTGGGGTTTTGATTTGGAATCGTGGAATTTGGAGGTTTAAGTTGCTGCGTCCCCTTTTTCAGCTCGATTTCGAATCCTTTTATAGGCTATTCTCGTAGTCCCTTAGATCGCTTGAAAGGGGACACCCTATTTAAGACTTTGGAAATATTTCTGATTTGGGATATCCTGTATGAGATTTGTTTGGGAAAGAAATTAAACCCCTATGAAATTGCGTTTATGAACTTTCCTTTCCAATTCGTCAAATGATTGATCAAATGTGGTTTGGTTTGCAGGCCATTAATGACGCATTATGGATGTGGGAGCGTACAATCTTTCATTGTGAAGAGAAAACAATCGTATCAAACACCGTCAGCAGAGGATTTCCAACTTCAATCATCGTCAAAACCTCTTGTAAATATCAAAGTCTAACAAGTCGTGAATGTGGTGAAAACTGCAGATAACCAAAGAGGTACAAAGCCCCAAAGTTTATTGTTCAAACACTCTATCGGAGTCCATTGTTCTTGCTCTCATATATTCCCTTTTTTCTTACCATAATCAGGGTTGATGTAGTCCAAGAGCTTAGCGCAGATGAGGGTCCGTTGCTAGCTACTAAAGTATCTGCTTCTTCTCCAAATTTTGGCGAGTCGATGTGTTGCAGGTTTGGTGGTTTAATTGTCTTGGGAAGAATCAATGTTTATGGTTCCTTGACTTAGTGGATTTAATTTTCAGGTTGGAAGGCTCGTGAACACTCATGTCTTGGTTCTGCTTTAACAAAAGAGTGCTTAGTAAAAGTATCCTGAATTTTGCTAACTCTGGATGGGAAGAATGTGGACAGTTGGGTTCTGTTTTTTCACTTTAACTCCAATTTAGCTCTTGTGTAACAATTTAAAAGGTTGATTCTCTACTTTCTCTTGCAGATTACGCATGTTGCCGCGACCGGATGAGCTTTGGGAATCTTAACAGAACCAACGTCCGTGAAGTTCTTGATGCTCCTCTCACCAGGTAATCAAAACTTACATCCTCTTCTCAGTCGAATGATGTTACCCACGATAGTAAATAATATTGATAATTCTTATGCTTAGTCCACATGTATTCATTCGCTTTACTTATTTGAATACCGGAGTTCGAATGTGGTTTTAATGTTCTCTAATTTCAGCAATGTCGGAATGTCGAAAACACTATCTTGGGCTTCATATGTTTTTTTATTTTGTGCAGAAAGAATGAAGCTGCAAATCAAAATAAATGCAAAGCCAAATAGACAAAAATCAAAATAAGTGTATTCAAACAATGCAAAGAGCTCAAAACACTAAGAGTAATACCATAACAGAAACAGAAAAGAAGAAGCCTTGAAGCCTCCCAAGAACAGACACTAAGGACTAAGATCAACCAGACATCATTAACACAACACCACTCGACGGACAAAGCACATACTTCAGGCTACTAATGATTCAAGCACAAGATGAGATATTTTATCATTCAAAGTAGGAGCGCTTAGAAGACATGTAAATATACCACTTCCACGATTACCACTTTCCTAGAAAAAAGAACATTATTATGGGATTTTCATAAAGACCATATCACCTCATGCCAAATCAATACCAAACTAAGTATGCACCTACGTCGAACACCAAGCCTCCTTAAAATCGTAGACACCGATGTAAGTAACACTAAGGAGAATGCAAACCACATAAAATCTTATACCACAGACATTTCGCCACATCACAAGTCACAAAAAAGATGAGAAAATAACTCCTCCACCACCAAACATAAGATACAAGAGCAACTAGTTGGGTATAGAATCATCCATCGCCTGAATAAGATCGCCCTTGTTGGGATCTTATTCTGTAACAATTGTAGGAGAAGACCACCACTTTAAACAAAACGAGGCTCTCCAAGATAAGATGAAAGGAATGATTGGGAGACGAAATAGAAAAGCCAGGAGGCAAATTGATAAAAAGCACGAGAGAATATGTCAGAGTTAAATAATAAGTAACATCTTCACTATGAGTCCACCATCAAAGATCGCTCTCTAGATATATGGAATTTCCCTTGAGAATCTGTAAAAACTCCACGAACAACAACTTCTCCCATATAAAGAAACCTCTCCTCCATCTAAAATTCAAAATCAGACTGTCATTAGGCTCAAAACCCATCTCCTCCACTTTACCATCTTTCAAAAGAAATATCTGAAACATCCTGAGAAAGAGGTTCTTAGGGGGTATAGAACCAATCTCAAAATCTTTCTAAAAAGAGGTAAGGAGACATAACTAACCTTTTTGAAAATCTCATCCACAAATCAATCAGAACGGTAGTGGAGAGCCCAAGTAGAAGACACGATCTCAAGTAAAAGATATGACATGATTAAGTAGAGAATGTGCATAAAATCATAACAAAGTGATATAATTATTATTTCTCATTTATATATGGACTTACACTAGTAGTAATTAATCAAAATTCAAAATAAGATGTGAGTTCGCACTAAAGTGTCTAACTATAATTATGCATCAAAATGTTGAAAGGAGATTTGGCCGCAGTAGGAGGTAAATGGAATGTCATGGTTGTGAACACCTTCATAAGTTGTTATCACATAGCTTGAGTCATCTCTATCCCTTTCCACTCTTTTCTTCACATTGCATCCAACACTTGAACACTTGTAGTAGTTCCTGTATCATCATAATTAATAGCTTAAAAACATGTATTCATTTATTATTAGTTATAATGTAATCTCAACGATGTTAATCCTTATATGATGCCAAATGAAATAGCATCATCAACTTTATGAAAAGACATGTGAAAAATAAGCTATTAAGGCATGTGAATACAAATGTCAATACTGAATATTTATCAACCATATAAACGACAGACATGTATGTGAAACTGAGAATAGAGAGAGGTCTCTATCTCAGGTCATTAATCTACACTATCATAAGCCGCCACAACATTATTTAAATTGGATTTAAACTCATCTTTGCATATTAACGTTATTCTAATTAATTTTATAAAACATTTTCTTTTTACCAGAATCGTTTCAATCTTTTCAGAGGTCTTATGTAAGAAACTGAAATTAATTTCAATTAAATTGTAAAAAAAATTTAACAGGCCCTATTTAATTATAAATTAACCATGAAATATTTATGTAAAAGCCATTTTTTCATAATTTAATCATTAAAAAAATGTCAGACTGTATTATATAGGTCGCTTTAACCGTCCTTAAGACCACCCTGCTTTTTACCTTAAATTGTGATTATTCTTTACGGACTTCTTTCCATACTTCCTCCATTTGTATCCATCATCCATAATCTCAATCTCTGATCTTGTTCTAAATGCTATCTTTGGCCCCACTTCTTCCTTTTTTCCTTTAATAATCCCATTTTTGTACTTTCTGCAAAACATCATAAATCCAAAATAGATTTACACTATTAGAAAAAAAACAAAAAAACAAAAAATAATAATAAAGAGAAGAAAACAAATTAGAGGAGTAGAAAAATACATGTTATTGTTGTTAGAGGTTGCATTATTGAGTTCAAGTTCATGATTGGAATCATTGAACGTTACTTTCTCTAATGATTCAATACTTTGTGACCTAGATTCTTGATCATGTTGTGTTTGATCAATACAAATATCATCAAGCATGAGATAATCAGATACTATAAACTCATAAGAAGAGGAAGAAGGAACCTGGTTCATACGAGTAGAGTAACCGAAATTGGGATTTGGATGAGGGTTTACAAAATAAAAATCCATTAGAGTATGACTATAGGCCATTGATTTTTCACTATATATAAAATATAGTATTATAAATAATGTTAGTGTCTAAAGAAGGATAAAAATAATGGTTTCTGTATTATGCTTTTCTATGAATGATAGTTCCAATCACCTTCCTAGATGGATTCCATGAAGGCTCCTCTATAAACCACGTGCCCACTATCTTGGACTTATATTAAGGTGATGTCATTATGATGACGTTATTTTAATTGAAGCAACTAAGGTTACTTTCAATAACCAATATTATTGTATTTTATTTCCTCATTAGATCTATTAATAATGAGTTTATTATAATTAATTTATATTTACGTTTTAATTATTATCACGTCAATTTTAACCAATTATTGCCTAGTTGACAAAGTCGTTAGTTTCTTAAAAAAAATTAAAACGTTAATTACTTTAAGTTTTCTAGTCCTATTTTTTTTTTTAAAGTTCACCTCAGATGTTTTAAATAACTTCTTGAATGACATATCATAGTTAAAAATATTAAATATGATTAAGTAAATAACTTAACTATTTAATCTTAAATTTAAAATTATATAGATAAATTAATAAAGAGTGTAATATGTTTTCTCTTTTGATTCCACTAAAATTTTTTTGACACCATCAAAATATATTGTGGGCAAAATGTTATTTTTAACCCTTTAACTTTATTTCGGCATTTATTTTGCTCTCTCAATTTTAAAAGAGATTAAGTTGATTTTTTAATTATTCAAATAGCGACATGTTAGTTCTTTTTGTTTGATCTGTTAGTCAAGGTCAATTTTAGAGTGCATGTGGCGCATATGTGTCATTGAGGTGGATGACAGACTACCTTAAAAAGAAATCGAAGGGTTTAGTTCATAAAACACATGTAAGACGTATGAACTCTAGTAAAGTAATTGATAGAATTAGAGTTTGATCTAACTCAACCCTACAAAATCGGTTGGTAAGGTGATGGGTGTCACTCTATATAAACCTTTTGTAGATTATATTTTTAACCAATGTGGGACTTGAGTTTTTTCCAATACAATTGACGAAAGAGGAATCTGTTGCGATTTGGAAAAGGAGGAAAGTATGTGAAATTGAAAGCTTCTAGCCACTATTGATTACAAGTTTGTTTAACGAAATCTTTCTGCAATTCTAGAATGTTGTAGTTTTAGGGGTTTAGGTTTAAGTGTTTATGGTTTTTGCAATCTTTCTGAAATCTATCTATTTCTGCAATTTTGTTTTTAGGGTATAGTTTGAAATGGACGAATACTTGCGTCTAAAAATCCATCATAGTGGTGAATTCATTGATGAGGAATTTAGTGTGTATGAAGGAGGAGAAGTTTCTGATTTGAAAGTAGAGGTTAAAAGAAATTAGAGTTGTCAATGAAGATGCCTTCAAACACATGTTGAGCGTCCCACCAAGATTTTGGAGTAGATCATACTTTAAGACACATAACAAGTGTGATGTTGTTCTCAATAACACGTCTGAAGCTTTTAATAGTGTCATTCCTGAGTCAAGGGTCAAGCCATTGATACCCATGATGGAAGAAATCAGGACCTACATGATGGAAAGATGGGCAACCAATAGGATGTGGTTTCAAAACATGGTAGATGCTGGTCTGTTACCCAATATTAGAAGGAAAATTGAAAAAACAAGCACATATGCAAACTTATGGATTTTCAGGTAACTATACATGAAATAAATGTGCCTGTCATACAAGTTTTATGTGAGTATCATGTGTTGACCTAAAATTTCCTATTGTAGGATGTTAGCTGAGCACATCTTTGGAGTGAGGCACCTTGAAAATCCAAAAGATAAGTTTGCAGTCAATTTAAAGGAACATCTATGTTCCTGCAGAAGATGGGAACTCAACGACCTTCCTTATGTTCATGCACTTTCAACTATGAAGAGTATAAACTATAAGGTTGGTGACTATATCCCTAAGTATTATAGGAAATCAAGAACAATGCGATCTACAAACATGTGATTTAACTTGTAAATGGATCAAATATGTGGGTTAGAACAAAGTATCTTGATTTGCAACCACCTAACTATAGGAAAATGTCTGAAAGACTAAAGAAGAGGAGGACTTTAAACAAAGGAGAGGTTGGTGGCTCTGATTACAAAATGAGGATCCTGTCTTTGATCAAATCACGCACTTTAGCCTTTAATGCACAACAATTTTCTAAATCATGTCCTGTGGCACCTTGGTGGAATGCACAATGGAGGTCAGACCTAAAACCAGCTGGAAGAGGATTTGGAGGAGGACGTGGAGTCCTAGTGGTAATTCAGCCTTTCTGAAACATAGCAGGGTACAGTTTGGTGTATGTCATGAGAATACGATCAAAATGAGTCCTATTGCGGTTCAAGTTTTGTCCAACAACCGAATGTTGAGGAGTTCGAACTGGTTGAGCAGTAACCACATGAATAACAACAGCAATGACATAGTGATTAACATATTGAGGTCTGTAACGAGGTCTTTTCTCCTCAGTTATGACAACATTGGTTTGGTCTTCTCTCTTCTTTTAGAAGTTCCCATAGGATTTCTTCAAACCATTAAAAGATTCAGCGACTTTAGACATTTTACCATTCTTGAAACCTTCTTCGAGTCTTTGGCCAATAGTCACCAAATCTGTGAAGTTGGAGGAAACACTACCAATCATCTTATCCTAATAGAAGGGAAACAATGTGTCCATGAAAATTCCTATTAGTTCTTTCTTTGCTAGAGCGGGTTCAACATGGGAAGCTAATTCTCTTCAGTGTTGAGCATACTCCTTGAAATATTCTCTCTCATTCTGAGACATGTTTTGAAGTTGACGACGGTCAGGAGCCATGTCAAGATTGCAGTTGTATTGCTTCATGAAAGAATTAGCAAGATCCTGAAAGAACTGAATACCGTTCTTTTCAAGATTCATGTACCATTTGAGTGAAGCTTCACTTAGACTGTCTTGAAAGCAATGGGTGAGCAACTTCTGGTTGTTGGTATAAGCAGCCATATTTCTGAAGTACATAATTAGATGAGCTCTTTAACAAGAATGACCTTTGTATTTCACAAACTCGAGAGGCTTAAATTTGGCAGGCATGACAAGGTCAGAAATAAGGCACATGTTGTTTGCATCGACACTGAAGAAATCATTACCCTCCATGAATCTAAGTCTCTTGTCTATAGTCTGAAACTATTCACGGACCTCTTCAGATTCAAAAAAATCCTCACGATATTCACCTTGGGCACTAGCAGCATTTTAATCAAATAGAGGATTCTCAAAGGGAACTCAGGCAGTCTGGGCAATAGTATGAACCACAGGTCTAAGATCAGAGAAAACTGGAGCTTGAAACACTGGTCTGGCAGTTTAACCAATAATAACAGTAGTAGCAATAGGTGGAGAGTAGTTATGGGGTCAACCAAACTCTGGCCAAGTAGAAGGTGGCATCTGAACAGGTTAAGGATCAGGAACAACACCTGAAACCTCCTGGATGACAGTTCTTTGAGGTTGTTCTCTTTTGATAATTAGGACTTAGAACATCTCAGTAAGATTAGTCATGTCTGACTTCAAATCATGAATCTCCATTCTGATCTCTGCATTATGTTGTTATTGCTCTGACATTATGTGTCTAATATTAGCTCTCGTCTTGTATCAGTGACGAGGAATTAGCTTGACGACTGACAGATGACACTGAAAGATAGAGACAGCTGGAATGAGTTGCTGTACAAACTAGATATATGCAATGAATCATGCAAAGGATGCAATGATATGTAATGTCATACAACACAAGATGCAGATCACAGGTAACAGGATTAAAGTTTCAGGATCACAAGCATGGAGCCTAGGGGAAAAGTTAACCACAGGGTGTGTACTAGGGGTAAAACACTTGCACAACGGGTCTTAACAAGGTTCCCAAAGTCTACAATCCTCTTTCGAATATTACTAGCACTCCGATTACTCGAGAATCAATAATATTCTCAAGAGAACCTCGTCTGAGTGTATTATTGCATATCGACTAATTTAGGTTTACACCTTCATAGCCACTGCACTACATCCTAAAATGCCAAGTGGGGGTAAATGGGGTACTAAGGTCCTCAACTTCTCGGGCTCCCAGGTCGAAAATAATAATGTTTTCACGATTACTCGTTCAACAAATAATACCCTCAAAGGGGTCTCCATTGAATGATGGGTTGAATTCTCAAGTCAGCTTGTTCGAGATTACTCCAACCAAGCCAACTTGACTATACCACCCTCCTAATCATAAGAGCTCTCAAGTTCGAGTATAGGACTTATCTCACCATACAAAGATCAACTAGAAAAATAGAAGAACCCAAGCAAAACAACAAACAATAATAGCAACACAAATAGAACAAGTTAGGCTTAACCCTCTGAACAATGTTCCCCAGTGAAGTCACTATTTTCTGTTGCAGTGAGAATCAGAGGTCAAAGCTATCGGATTAGCTTGACTCGCAAAAATAAGATATCACCATCGAACTTTTGTTTTTCTAAGGGAAGGGAGAAAATATCAAACACAAATCCAAATGAAATGCAAAGCAAAAAAGCAAGGCCTGAAGCTAAGAAAAGAGAGATCAAAGGTACAGGGGTTGGTTATGAAAAGGGAAGGTACTAACACCCTAATCATTTGTAGTACTCTATAGAAACCTGTTGAAAAATTTGTATTTTGGATAAAATTGTTTGCTAAAGGGGAAAGATGGGCAAAGAAAGACAAAGACAGGCAAGGCAAAGCAACAAACATACAATGAACATGCATAATGACAATAAGTCAACATACACTCCCTTCCCTTGGATTGGGTCACAAGCATCAAAGGAAAGCAAAAGATACATGGAAAATTATCATGTATGAAAGTAACAGATACACAGTACACAGAAAGAACATCATGTATGATCAACGAAGAAAATCAACTAAGTACACATGGTAAAACATCATGTAGAAAATAGACACAAAATCAATAAAGGTACATGGCAAAGCATCACAGAATGATAAAATAAAAATAGTCGATAAA